TATATATGTGTCTTTATAATAGAACAATTTATAAACCTTTGGATATATACCCAGTAATGGGATTGCTGGGTCAAACAGAATTTCTATTGCTAGGTCCTTGAGGAATTGCAATATCTTTTTAATCATAGAAACTTGTACACTAATAGTGACTTATCATAGTAAATTCAATATATCCAAACAAAAACTTTTTTAAGCAAAGATACAGAAATTAATATAAACACATGATCAAATGCCTGAGTACTATTTGTGTGAATGTGAAGGTTACCAATTTTAACCCAAGACATATTCACCTGGCAAGCACAAACAGTGGTGAAATGAAGGTGTCCATCTGTTGTTATACTTTTGCTTCAATAAGCCCAGTTAAAAATGGTGTGGTCAGCAGGGAGCGGCTCACACCTGTAATCCCAGCACTTTGAGAGGCCGAGGCAGGTGGATCACAAGGTTGAGAATTCGAGACCAGCCTGACCAACATAGCGAAACCCCATCTCTACTAAAAATACAAAAATTAGCCAGGCGTGGTGGCACAGGCCTGTAATCCCAGCTGCTCAGGAGGCTGAGGCAGGAGAATCGCTTGAACTTGGGAAGCAGAGGTTGTGGTACACTAGGTTCCATTGCACTCCAGCCTGGGCAACAGAGAGAGACTCCACCTCAAAAAAAAAAAAAAAAAAAAAAAAGGTTAAAAATGGTTGTGGTAAAACCCAAAATGCAATAAAAAATTTAAAAAAAAAAGAAAGGTGGTTCGAGAAACACTCTGCTGGCTGGAGTCGGCGGCGTATGGCGGCGCCGGAGTCACTTTTCCAGATTTGGAAGCACCATGGGTACCTCGTCCGAAATACTGGTACGGTTTGGACGGCGCTGTGGACAATCGAAGGAAAGCACAGAAATAAGAAACTCTGAAGAAGATCAAGTTCTCTATCCACCTCTTCTACCTAGTAAAGTAGATCTCCAGCAGGTCACCATAATTACACATGATGAGTGGGAAAGATTCAAGATAGCCTTGACAGGCTGACAAGAGAAGCAGCATGCCTCCGTGCAGAAAGAAAGGCAAAGAAAGAAATGCATTTGAAATCCCAAGAAGTGGTAAAACATTGGACTAATACATATGCAGGGATGAAAGAACAGAAACTTGAAGCCAAAAAGAAGCATGATGAAAAAATAGAGGCAGAAAGACAAATTCTTGATCTGGAAGAAGAAATATACAAACAAGGAAAAAGAAAAAAGGCCATTGAAAATGCAAAGCAGTATCAATTTTACCAGACAGAAAGAGTGAAAAACTTTCATGTACTACTTGGATTTTCTTGTATTTATATATATATTTAACATATCTATACATAATTAGGCATCATTTTCTTAAAGTACTATAATTTTTCTTTCGTAGTCGGGACTTCTTCTTAGTAGAGTTATGAAGGAACGTGATGCCCAGATTGAATACCAAAAGAGTAAGATAAAATCAGATAAAAAATGGGAGGGACAGTTGAAACTCAACATTGAAAAAGCTTTTAAAGAAGAACAAGAAAAAGCAGAAAAACGGCATAGAGAAAGAGTGGCTCTTGCCAAAGATCATCTAAAACAAATAAAGGAACATGAGGAAGAAGAGGAAAGAAGGAAAAAACATGAAGAAAAAGATGCTGAGGAAATAAAGCGACAGAATGCACTATATGAAATCGAAATGAGAAAAAAACTAGAAAAGAAAAAAGAAGAGATACACGAAAGCAAGAGACGGTTTCTTGAACATATGCAGGAGAAACATATAATCAAAGCTGTACAACAGCAGCAGCAAGAGCAAGAGGATGAAAAGATTAGAAAATTTATCAAAGCAAAAAAGTGTCTTATACAAATGAGGAAAGAAAAAGAAGCTGAAACACACAGGCTTATGGAGGAATGAAGAGAAAGAATACATAACTTCTTGAGTGAACTAATGAAAGAGAAACTTGACAATGAAGATATGATTATTGCTAGAGATATTGCAGAAGCTGATGCTGAATGGGAAAAAAGAGAAAAAGATGAAAAAAGCAAAGCAAATTAAAAGCAATTGCAGAATATAGAGCCATTGTGATGAAAAATAAAGAGGAAGAAGAAAGACAAAGAAAAATAGAGGCTAAAGAACAATTGCTGGCTGTCATGAAAGCAGATCAGATTTTCTGGGAACATGAAAAGGAGAAAAAATGCAAAGCTAATAAAAAACACCGAGAAGTTCAAGATGCCCATATTCAGCAAATGGCCAAAAATAAGTTTAATGCAAAGCAAGCAAAACAAGCAGAATTAGATTATTACAGACTTACTGAAGCTCTTGTGGCTGTAAAGGAGAAAGAATTTCAGGACTATGCCAGACAGGTCATTGAACTTGAATCGGAAACAACAAATAAATATATTTACCCTCTTGTAAAAGCTGTACAGGAAGGACCTGGAGGTGGCCGTGGACCAGTGTTTGTGGACAGAGGTGGATTAAGACCCAGCTATCAGGCAAACGATATTACTGGAGTCCAGCTCCCTTTTTATAACCCCCAGGGACCAAAATATAATTTTCAAAAGTCAAAGAGAAGGCTAGGTTTTACATGGTAGAAAAATTATTTTTAACATTGAGAAGACTCAAGTTGTAGCATATATGAGCTACAAATGTAAATGGATTATATACTTATAATTTCTGTTAATAAACTGTTCTCCATCTAAAAAAAAAAAAAGAAAAAGAAAAAAATATTTTTGCATAAATGAGAAAAAAAAAAATGGTTGTGGTCACCTTAAAATTATCCCCAGTGATTCATGGTACTTATATAATCTCCTCTCCTTAAGTATGAGAAGGACCTCTAATTTGTTTTAGCCAATAAAATAAGGCAAATGTGAGGATAGATGTCATTCTTATGATTATGTTACACAAGAATGTGTAATCATATCTGTCTTGGAAGACCATAGCAGAAGATGTTTTTCTGCTGGCCTTGAAGACACAAACCACCAAGTTGTAACTGTCTGTGGAAAAAGCCAGAGGTAAGGAATTCAAGGAGCTGCAGGCAGCCTCTAGGTCCTGAGGACAGCCTTTAGTAAGAAACTAGGGCAAGGTGGGGAGGTGATGAGGCTCAGTCATAAAGCCACAAGGAAACAAATTCTGCCAACAACCTAAGTGCATGTAGGAGTGGATTTTTACCAAGTTGAGCCTCCAGATGAGAATGCAGACCGGCCAACAACTTGATTACAGCTTTGGAAGACCCTAAGCAGAGAATCTAAGCCATGTCCAAACTCATAACCCACAGAAATTGTGAAATGATGAACAGTAATTGTTTTAGGACACTAAATCTGTGGTAATTTACTCTCTGTGTACGGTAGGCTGACACAGGTATAGCTAAGCTGCTGTCCCATGTCTGCCCTTCTCTTGCCATCTGACTTCATGAAGAGCTACCCTTTAGCCTGTATTTGCTAATCCTTGGTTCTACCGCCAAGTTCCATTAATTACAGAAACTCTGACCCTACCTTTGCACTGAAAAGCGTTCTCTTGAACACAACCAATTATAGTAACCATATTTTTCTTAACCAAGGATCAAACGCTGTGGTCTAACAAAGGAATTCTGTGCCACTTACAGAAACCAGAGCGTAAGTGTGCTATAGTTCATTGTCAAAATGTAAGATTAGAGGTATTCTGATGGTTTAGTGTTAAGACATCAAATATCAAAATTAGCAGAGCCAAGAAAATCTATGCCTGCTTGGAGAAACTGAAATACTAATAGCCCTTTCCAGCTCTGCACACTCCCACTCCTAGAAGCCCCTCTCCTCTCTTGGCTTCCAGGACACCCTTTCTCCTGTTTTTCTTCTACGATTTTCTCCTTTTCTTCATGGGCTCTATTGTCCCCCTCTGCACACACAACTTAATCAGTGATCTCCACCCAGTTCTACCTCAGTTCTCAGTCCTCTTGTCTTTCCATTAGATACCCTCTCCTTTCATTCACTAATTATCTGGGGGAGTGCAGCACACACCAGGCACTGGCTGGGCATGAGAGATACAAGTAAACAAGTAAACTGAGACACTGGTAAACAAGCCTAACACGGTGCCAGCTCTCATAGAGCTGCTTTCTTCATCGTCAAGGGGCAGTTCACACCCTCCATCAGTGATCTCACCTACTCCCTTAGGCAAAGCTATGAGTGTATGGACACACAAACATACTGGGAAAATGAGTCCCAAATCAATGATTCGCACCTCTCCTCAAAACCTCAAACACAATGGCTCGCATCTGTAATTCCAGCAACTCAGGAGGCAGCTCAAGACCAGCCTGTGCAACATAGCGAGACCCTGTCTCTACATTGTTTTTTTAATTAGCCAGGAGTAGCAGCGAGTGCCTATAGTTCCAGCTACTCAGGAGATTTAGGTGGGAGGTGCTTGAGCCCAGGAGTTGGAGGCTGCAGTGAGCTATGACGGTGCCCCTGCACTCCATCCTGGGCAACAGAGTGTGACTCTGTCTCTTAAAGAAAAACAAAACAAAAACACCAAATGCTCAATGTCTAACGACCTACTGTACACATCTCCAAAATGCCACAAATACAGTATATCAAAATACAGCTCATCATACCTCAGATCTCTACTTGCTGATATATAACTGGTTGACTCGATAAATACGTTGAATTAAGCTGAATTTACAGAATTACCATCCTCTAGCTCCTCCAATTTAAAACCTCAGCATCACCTGTTCCTTATCTCTTGGTGATCTGTTAACTTTTTCTCTAAGAATATCTCTTGCCCGCTCTTCTCCATCTCTACTAAAAATATTTTCGTTCAGACTCTCATTATTCTAATTAGTCTGCCTTTCACTCCTCAGTCACTCACTTCATCATCCATCTATTAATTTAACTAATATTTTGAAAGCACCACCTAAGAGCGAGGCACCAGCTATAACAAAAAAGTAGAATAGTCTATGCCCCTCCAGAGTTTAGAGTTTCTAAGGGGACCGCAATTAAACAAGTATTTTCAACAAAGGGTAGCATGAGAAGTAAGTTCTGCGTGCCGTGAAAGTACCTACCTAACTCTATGCGGTAAGAAAACGCTGCCTCCTCTCTGTAATAACCCCAGAAATGTCCGCACTGACTAAGACCTAAAATATAAATAAAAGTTACAAGCAGGAGAAAAAAATATTCCAGGCAAGGGAAAATGCATTTACGAAGAGTTTGAGAAGTTCAGTTCAATTAACAAAGATCTGACAGGGTGAGAGGTTAAAGAGGAAAGGCAGAGGGCAGATTGCAGTCTGTGAGCCACAGCAACTGGACCACAGGAAGCCACTGAAGAATTTCAAACGGGGACAGCTATGACGGGATTTAGTAAATCCACCGACTGGTGTGGAAAGCTGATCAAAGAGCAACAAGAACTCTTTCCAAACACTGCTGAATCAATGCTACCTATACGCATGGACAGAGAATAGATCTCAGCCCTTGACTTACTGCCTCTGAAGAGTCGAATGGCTCCCCGTGATCAAGCGGAATTCAGCTCAGCTTGGCATGAAGACCCTCTCCCCCGTAGAGGGGCTGCCCTTTCTTTCCAGTCTTCTCTCACATCTCCCTCCAATCCTAAAACCCAGCTCTTGCCTCACATAGAGTTGCAACCATTCTGTCCTCTCTGCCTAGAACACCCGTCAGGCTCATTCTCTTCTCTCCCGGGTTAACTTCCACGGACTCCTGAAAACTCACACAGGCGAAGCCCTCTGAGAAGCCCCTCGGACATCCATCGGTTTAAATGACTCTCCCGGTCCCAAGCCACCCTGGATAGTTTGCCCCTCTTCTGCTAGACGGTAAATCCCCCCGAACGCCACAATCGAGTGCTCCCTCTTTACAGCTGTGTGCAAAAGCCCCCGAAAGCGGAGCGCACGCGCACAAACACACCCAGACGCGCACCCCGACACGCACTTGCACTCTCAAAACACAGAGCCGCGGCAGCGCTTCCTTAAGTAATGATTCCCCAACCGGACGCCTGCATCCCAGGGAGCAGACAGACGCCACGACCGTTCTCCCCTGCTCCTTTTTTGTAGCCCAGGTCCCTAAGCCTCGTTGGGACTGCGAACTGCAAGCCTCCGATCCATCATCTCAACCTGCCTTGCCGTTTCCCGACTGCCGCCGCCGCCGCAACTTCAAGCTCCGGAACCGCGGAGCGCGCCACAGGTTTACCCAGGCCGCGGCTTCCGGGCTGTTGCCTAGGTTACCAGAGCCCCGCCCCGACGCCCTTGCGTATATCCGGCGAGCCCAGTGCGCAGGCGCCCCCCAAAGCCTAGCTCGGGTTCTGAGTCTAAGGTGGTGGTGTTTCTTGCTCTCCGGAAGTGTGGTGTCTGCAAGCTTCAGGGCAAATCGTTAAAGAATAGGCATGTAGCATTAGCCAGTGCCTCCAGAATTCTCTAAAAGAAAGATGTTTCTGGCCTCACCAGACTTCACATTTCACTTAATTTGCTTTTATCTCTATTCATTTGTTTAAAATGTTTAGTACTGTAATCCCAGCACTTTGGGAGACATGAGCAGGAGGATTGCTTGAGCCCAGGAGTTTGAGGCAAGTGTGGGCAATATGGCAAGACTCCGTCTCTACAAAAAACTTAAAGAATTAGTTGGGCTTGGCAGTATGCCCGTGGTTCCAGCTACTCAGGAGGCTGAAGTGGGAGGATCGCTTGAGCCCAGGAGGTCAAAGCCACAGAGAGCCAGTCGTGGCACTGCACTCCAGCCTGGGCTACAAAGCAAGACCCTGTCTCAAAAAAAAAAAAAAAAAAAAAATGCTTATTACAACCTACAAATGTGCTGGAGAACTAGGTTGTATGGAGGGTGAAAAACAGGCAAGGTAGGACTTACAGCATGGTAGCAGAGAGTTATCAATGACAAAAATATCAAATTAAAATTATGATGAGTGCTAAGAAGGAAGCACTCTAACCAAATACTTAGCTTATTATTATAGTAATATTTGAATTACTAAGAAAAGCTGAGACAGGAGTAGGCCAGTGGGGAAGGGAAAAGCATTCCTGCAGAGGGAGCTGCATATGCAAAGACATGGAAAATGCAAGGGACAGGAAGAAGTCCAGTGTGTCTGAAGTTTAGAGAACAATGGGAACTTGGTGTTTCTCATTAGAATCAAAGGAAGCAAGAAGACAGAATAACAGTTCAAACATATTCAAAGAAAACAAACTCTCAACCTAGAATCCTTATACTATGCCTTTTTTTTTTTTTTTTTTTTTTTTGAGATAGTGTCTCACTCTGTCACCCAGGATGGAGTGCAGTGGCAGAATCTCAGCTCACTGCAACCCCCACCTCCCAGGTTTAAGCAATTCTCCTGCCTCAGCTTCCCAAGTAGCTGGGACTACAGGTGCATACCACCACACTCAGCTAAATTTTGTATTTTTAATAGAGACAGGGTTTCTCCATGTTGGTCAGTCTGGTCTTGAATTCCTGACCTCAGGTGATCTGCCCTCCTTGGTCTCCCAAAGTGCTGGGATTACAGGCGTGAGCCACTGCACCTGACCCTTATACTATTCCTGATACCACTTAAAGATAGACTATGATAAACTAAAGATATAATACTATAAACCCTAAAGCCACCACTAAAACAATAAAAGTTATTGTTAAGAGCTTACAAAAGTCGTATAACAGATAATGAAACAAATACATGATTAATCTAAAAGTATAAAACAAGAAAAAACTAAGAAAATAGAGAAATAGAAAAAAAATAGCAAGATGACAGACTCATATCCTGAATCATATTAAATGTAAATTGCCTAAACTTTCTGATTAAAAGGCAGAGATTGTCACATTGTCAGAGATTGTACTGATAGTACTGCAGTGTGAAATTGAAATATCCGCAGTTATAGTCAAAGATTTCAGTGCCCCTTTCTGAATAATTTATAATGCAAGTAAGCAAAAAAATCAACACGTTTATAGGAGACTTGAACAATCTTGACCTGATTGACATTTATAGAACACTCCAACAATCAACAGGATATACATGGTTCTTAAGCATATACAGAAAGTTTAGAATATGCACAATAAACCGGACCATAAAACCAGTTCCAATAAATTCAAAAGGATTCAAGTCATGCAAGGTATGTTCTCTGACCATAATGTAATTCAATTAGAAATCAATAACAGAATCATTCTTGGAAAATTCCTCAAAATTTGGGGAATAAAAAACACACTTGTAAACAAGCCATTGCTATGGTCTGAATGTGTCCCCACAAAATTTATATATGACAGTTTGCCAGTGTGATGGTATTAAAAGCTGGGGCTTTCAGGAGGTGATTAGATTCTGAAGGCTCTGCCCATTGTGAATGGGGTTTGTACCTTTAAAAAAGAAAGCTGTAGGAAGCCTGTTTGGTCCTTTTGCCTCTTTTGCCCTTCTGCTATGTGAAGACAGAGCATTCACCCTTCCACCATATGAGGACACCATACACTGAAATTGCTAGTGCCTTAATCTTGGACTTCCCAGGCTCCAGAACCATGAGAAACAAATTTTCTGTTGTTTATAAATTACCCAGTTAGAGGTATTTCGTTATAGTAGCCCAAATGGACTAAAACAGAAATCAGTACTGAAAAGTGGGGTGCTGCTGTTAACAATTACCTAAAAATGTGGAAACAGCTTTGGAACTGGATAATTGGGAAAGGCTGGACCATAGGGATGTGACCATAAAGGGCTCAGAAGAACAGGAGAGCTGTAAAAACAAACGTCTCCGTCTGAAGGGGTCATCATCAAAGTACTAGCAGTAAATGAAATTCTGATGAGGTCTCAAGTGGAAATACGAAACAAAATGATGGAAACTGGACAATAGGCCAACCTGGTTTTTAAGTGGTAAGAACTTGGTTAAATTGTGTTTGTGTCCTAATGTTTTGTAAAAGAAGGAATCCAATATCCAATCTTAATAAAAACCTCTCAGATATTAGTTCAGCCATTGTGGAAGACAGTGTGGCGATTCCTCAAGGACCTAGAAATAGACATTCCATTTGACCCAGCAATCGCATTACTGGGTATATATCCAAAGGACTATAAATCGTTCTACTATAAGGACACATGCACACGAATGTTCACTGCAGCACTGTTTACAATAGCAAAGACCTGGAACCAACCCAAATGCCCATCGATGATAGACTGGACAGGGAAAATGTGGCACATATACACCATGGAATATTATGCAGCCATCAAAAATGATGAGTTCATGTCCTTTGTAGGGACATGGATGAACCTGGAGACCATCATTCTTAGCAAACTAACACAAGAACAGAAAATGAAATATCACATGTTCTCACTCATAGGCGGGTGCTGAACAATGAGAACACATGGACACAGGGAGGGGAGCACTACACACTGGGGTCTGTTGGGGGGTATAGGGGAGGGACAGCGGGGGGTGGGGAGTTGGGGAGAGATAGCAGGGGGAGAAATGCCAGATATAGGTGAAGAAGAGAAAGGCAGCAAATCACACTGCCACATGTGTGCCTATGCAACTGTCTTGCATGTTCTTCACATGTACCCCAAAACCTAAAATGCAATTTAAAAAAACCTCTCAGATAACTAGAAATAGCAAGAACCTTCCTCGACCTGATTAAGTACATCTATAAAAGACCTACTTCTAACGTGATACATAATAGTGAAAGACTGGACTGGATGCTTTCCTTCTTAGATCAGTAGAAGACAAGAATGTCTAGTCTTACTACATCTATTCAGCATTGTATTGGAGGTTCCAGTCAGTGCCATCAGACAGAAAAAATAAATAAAAAGCATTCAGATTGTATAGAAAAATGTCTTTATTCCCAGTGGAGTGAATGTCTTTGTAAAAACTCAACAAAATCTGTAAAAAGAGGCCAGGCATGGTGGCTCACACCTGTCATCCCAGTACTTTAGGAGGCTGAAGCAGGAGGACTGCATGAGGCCGGGAGGTTGAGGTCAGACTGAGCAACATAGCAAGATCTTGTCTCTAAAAAAAAAAAAAAAAAGGTAGCTTGGCATAGTGCCTTGTGCCTATGGTTCTAGCTATTTGAGAGGCTGAGCCAGGAGGATTACTTGAGCCCAGGGGTTCTACTCAGGAAGCTGCAGTGGGAGGATCCCTTGAGCCCATTAGGTCAGGGTTACAGTAAACTATGATGATGCCACTGCACTGTAGCTTGGATGACAGAGCAAGACTGTCAAAAGAAAGAAAGAAAGAGAGAGAGAAAGGAGGGAGGGAAGGAAGGAAGGAAGGAAGGAAGGAAGGAAGGAAAGAATGAATCTGTAAAAAGAAAAATGCCATTAGAGTTAATACATGAATTTAGAGAAGTTGCAAGATACAAGATCAACATACAAATATTGAGTGTAGGCCAGGCATAGTGGTTCATGCCTGTAATCCTAGCACTTTGGAAGACCAAGACAGGCCAATCACTTGAGGTCAGAAGTTTGAGATCCGCCTGGCCAACATGGTGAAACCCCGTCTCTACTGAACATACAAAATAAGCCGGGCATCATGGTGGACATCTGTAGTCCCAGCTACTTGGGAGGTTGAGGCACGAGAACTGCTTGAACCCGGGAGGTGGAGGTTGCAGTGAACCGAGATTGTGCTACTGCACTCCAGCCTGGGCGAGAGAACAAGACTCCGTCTCAAAAAAAATATATGTATATATTGAGTGTAATTCCACATATTAACAATGAACTATTAGAAATAGAATATCTTAAATGCGTTTCATGACATCAAAAAATTAAATATTTAGATATAAATCTAACAAAAGATATGAAAGCCTTGTGTATTATGAGCTACAAAGTATTGCTGAGAGATATTTTTAAAGACCTAAATTTGTAAAGACATACCTCATTCATGGGTTGGAAGACTCCATATTGTTCGAGGTCACTTACTTCAAACTGATCTCATATATTCAAGTAATCCCAATCAAAATCCCAAAAGGTTTTTGGAGAAATTAATAAGCTGATTCTGAAATTCATATAAAAATGCAAAGGACCTAGAATAGACAAAACAACTTTAGAAAACAGCAAAATTATGTTACTATAACTACCTAATTTCAACAATTATTATAAAGCTACGATAATCAAAAAAGCATAATATTAGTTGAAAAATACACAAATATATCAGTGAAACAGGATTGTGTCCAGAAATAAACTCATGCATGTATGGACAACTGATTCTCCTCAAAGATGCAGACATAATACAGTGGAGAAAGGACAGATCATTCA